TCAAAGTCAACTGTAAGATGTTGTCGGGTTTAACACACACTAACTCACACCACACAAGTAGTTAGACAACACAAGTAGTAATAGAGAGAGAGATATATATATAGTAGAGTACTGGTGGTGATGTGAATCGACAACTAACATGCAAAACAACTGACTGCAGAGGAACGGTATGTACAGTATGTGTGTGTGTGGTTGAGGAATGGCAACAGGCTCTCAATCATTGATTTGTTCACTCGATTGTTGGATCACTATGGAGATGGTATCCATGTCTCAGAATCTATATGTTCACCAATATATTCTGTAGATTCTGTGTGTGTATGAGCTTCAAGTAAAATACAATATGTGTGCTTTAAGAGTAGGTTTTATAAGAGAGAGAGAGAGAGAGAGAGAGAGAGAGAGAGAGAGAGAGATGTGGAAGAAGAGGGAGGAGTGATTGTCTGTGATGTCAATGAATTTATGGGAGGTTTTTAACCATTGAATGAGACATTTGTTGCCCGATCAACAAATTTTTGATTATTATTATTATTATATTCAATATTATTATTATTATTATTATTATTACAAATATATTAAACCCAACAATTAATAAAACGATGTTTGAGTGTGTCTTTCCAATGAGATATTAAAAATGTTTATTCATAACAAAAAAAATAAATAAAAATATTTTTTTGATGACTTGTTTTTAAAAAATATTTTTTTCTTCATATACTTTCATAATATGACAGTATATTTCTCTTTGATTTTTATGAATTATAAAAAACTAAATTTTACGCCTCGTTTAACAAATTCATTGTATGTATAATAAAAAAATGTGTTTAATTTTGAAGTCAGCATTTATCTCAACGACATACATATTGTTGTTGTAGTAGTAGTAGTAGTGGTATAACTGACAGTCCCTTTCAAACTGTTCCCCCCTTTCACTCAATTCAATAGAAACTTTATTCAAATTTTGCTAAAATCATATTATAAATGTTACTATTATTGAATTGACACTTTATATTTGTCAAATATTTATGTTAATTTAAGAGTTTTGAAAAATATCAAAGTTTTTAATAGTAATTTTAATGTTTAGTCTTTTTAATGCTAGTTATCCAGTTTTATGTATTTTTTTTAATTTTAAATTATTATTATAAGGTAAAGTACTCTACAACTTTTTTTATATATTAGATTTTTAAAATATTTTTACTTGAAATTTAAATTGTAATTTACTATAATATTTATTTAGATAAAGTTAAAATTAATTTATATTAATTAAAGTATTTGTATTTATATATATAAAGTAAATTAATGTTGTCATTAACAATAAAGGTTATTAAAATATTTAATTAAATAGTAATATCTTATTAATTTAACTTTTAAAAAGTTATATAATAAAAATACAACAGAAACTGAGATTTAATTTTATTTAAAAAATTGTATTATAAATATCATAGATAACCATATAATGTATATTTAGTGGGAAAAATATAATAAACATAAGACATTACTTTAATATAAGTTTTTTTATATAAGAATTTTCATGAATTTCTACCGTAAGTTATATCTATTTGTTTAACAATACTCTAGTTTAACAATATAGTCGATTATATAAATTTTATTAATTAAATAATTGACTGGAATTTTAATTAGATATTAGCATAAAATACTGATAATGTTTTTTTGTTTTTTAAAAAGAGAAAGATTATAATTTAAATATTTCTAATATGTTAGCATATTATATTGTACTATAGTGTAGAGTATTTTACTAAATATAAATAATATGCTAATAAAGTTTGATTAAATATATGATATCATATATATCATCATATATTAGAAATATCAGGCAAAATGCGTTATGTTTGATACCAACAAAGTTAACATTAAACTATATACAGATATATATTATATATATATATATATATATATAGATTGGATATAAAAAAGCGATGACTCGTCGGAAATGATGACAAATTGTTTTGTTTTTACAAATAAAAATCACGTAATAAACTAAACAAATTAATTCACAAAGTTTTGCGACACGAGTTTACCGACAAATCATTAACGAGTTGTTAATTAATTGATTCAATTTTAACTTAAATTATCAGCAAAAAAAACTTATTATTATTCTCAAATTGTTGTATTATTTTGATTAAAATTATTATAATTATCATCATTCATGCAATTGAAATGATTTTTGTAATTACTGTTGAGTTTATATTTATATATAAATAAATTTATTTTTAGAATTAAATTCTATTGATATTAATCATAAATATAATATATTGAAAAATTTATAAATCTATTTTTCAATAATAATGTTATTTGCACTTTAGATATGCAAAACATTATTATTTTTAGTTTTTTTCCTGATATTACACTTTACAGATGTTATAATAAATAAATCTTATTTTAAATTTAAAGATGCATTTTATTAGTGTACTGTACTTTACAACACTATATATGATTTTACATTACAAGTACTTTTATACATCATTTTTTGTGTCATTAAAACGTAAGAGACGTCATAACGTTTCTTTTGAGTTTACTTTTTACATATATATTGAATGAAAAAAATAAAAACTAAAGATTGAAAGACATTTGATTAGAGGCAAGACATATAAAATCCAAATTCATGTTTTAATATAGTATTTATTATATAAATCTATAAATTTTTTTACTGTCAAAAAATATATATATTAAATATTATAAATAGACAGTCCTTTTCATTAAACAATAGAAAATATGATTTTTATATATAAACGCCGACTATTTTTTGTTTTTATTTTTTTATGTCTAATAAATAATACTGTATGTGGTTTTAAATTAAAATCTATTAACACAACCAATGTTTATATGAATTATTATTATTTTATTTTATTTTTTTATATTCATTTGAATAGTAGGTGGTTGTAAAATTTTAATAAATAATTATTGCCGTATTTTATTTTAATAAAATTATAATATGAAAATTAATTAAATTTTTTATTATAATAATAAATTATGGCACTATATTATTTGTTTTTATATTTAATATAATATAACAGTTAAATATATAATAAACACAAATGGAAATAATAAGCGTATAATTTATATATAAATTTAATGATTTTGATAACACATACTTAATATGTGATCATTTTCTACTATTATATGGTTAAGCAAAAAAAAATATTGTCAACATTAGAGATATAAAATAAATTAAAATAAAGTTATTATTTTTTAATATTTTCTAAATTATAAAATACTGTATTTTACAGTAGTTGAAAATTATTTTCACTAATGTTATTGTTATTATACTTTTAATACTATAATTGTTATTGAAATTGTAGTCTTGCATTACAAAAATATTAAAATAATATACATAAATTATAACTGTATATTTGATTAATATTAAAAATAATAAAATTATTAATTTCAAATTCAATGAATGTAATATAATATAATAGTATTATTTATATGGTTGTAATACAATCATAATAAAATATTTTTATACGTATATTAAATATTAAAATTTTTTTATATTTGCTTTTGTTTTATATGAACAAAAGAAAAATAATGTTTAATACAGAAATGTAAAATTTATAATAATAATAAATATAAATGCAAAGTCAATAAAAATAAAATTATTAAAATTGTATGGGATTACCAACATCTCTATTTTTAATGTATGTTTACTGTATGTATGTTTGTGTAATATTAAAATTTATAGCCAAATACTGTTGTAAACAAATGCACAAAAAATAAATGTTGGTTATCCCTAGTATTTGTCACAATAACAACACGAAATATTTTGAGATATATCAATATAAATATATATATTTATTATATATATATATATATATATATATATATATATATATATATATATATATATAAATTTCTCATAAAAATTTATATCAAAAGTTTTGCCGATTCTATTCATTTGTATAAAGTTTTTTACAGACCATAGAATATGTATTGTATTTATATTATATTATTTATATTTATTTCGGTAACAACAGAGAAATTATCAAATAAAACGTCTAAAAATAGCTAAATTTAATATATATATATATAGTCTTATATATAAACCAATAGACTTATTTTGTGTTCAATTTTTATGCATAAAATATAAATTATATTAAACTATAAAATATATATTATATAAATATTGTACATAAGATATATATTTTATATATAGTATATAAATATATATAGTGATATAAATTTTGTTTAAAAAAAGATTGCTTCCAGTTATGACTTTATTCACAAAAAAAAAGTTTAGTCAGATTTTTTTTGAAATAAATCAATAGTTTACTAGTTTTTATGTGTAAAAATCAAATTTAAAATTTTGATTAAATTGCTATTTTTAGAAAACTAATTTATTTTTGAAAAAGTTTGGCAAAATATTTTTGAATTTAACGCGATAGCTAATTATGTTAATTAACTATTCAATATACAAACTAAATGTTTACAAATAAGTTGGGCTAATATACAATACAATACATTTATGTTGATATTGTTATTAAAATTTGAGACATTAATCAAATTATTTATAAATTATATAAAATAAAAATCACAAATAATCAACTTATTGATAAAAACTTAACTATAGTAAATATATTTTTTAAATGAAAATATTTATTTAATTTCAGCTGACATTTGTGTAAACAGATTTAAATTAATTTTTATCATATTATTACCGGTAATTTATACTAATATTAAATTTTAATCAATAAAATATTTGATTCGTATAAATATATAAAGTAAATCAATATTAAATATTGATAATTAAACTGATTAAATATAAGTACCAATGATTAGATAAAATTAAATAACAATATTAAAAGTGTTTTATAAATTAAAGTTATTTTGAGAAACATTAATAATATACTTTATAATAAAAGTATTAAAAAATTAATGTTTTACAACAACAACTACAAAATAATTGAAAATAATAAATAAATAAATATGTTTATAATTAAATTAATATTTTTAATTACATTAATTCATTGTTGTTTATGTCAAACCAATGATGACGATCTGTATCACTGTTTATGTTTAAATGATAGTCAGACACATATTGAACAATCAACTAATAAAACTGTAGACTATTTGTCGCATTTAATGGTAAATCAACTGATACCGGGTGTAGCAGTTGGTGTGAGCCGTTATGGCCGACATATTGTTGACGTGCCGTTAGGTTGGGCCGACATCGAGAACGACGTTCCCGTACGCCGATACTCGATGTGGCGTATGGCCAGTATTAGCAAGTCTTTGACCAGTGCACTGGTTGGCAAACTTATGGAAAACGGTAGACTTAGTCTAAACGAGTCTATCTATAAATACCTAAAACCAGGCATTTTTCCCGTCAAACAATGGAAGGGCAAGGATGTGGACATTACTGTAGGACAGCTTATGTCACATACATCCGGTCTCCCAGTAGACAATTCTGACAAAGACATGACCAAAATATACGAGTACACCAATTGTACCGAATCGGTAGCTAAGTTTAGAAATGACCCATTGATCTCAGCTCCGGGAACTCAGTATAACTATTCAAACTATGCCTACCAAGTTCTCGGAGCCGTAATCGAGTCGGTGACCAATGAAAACTTTGCCACAACTATTGACAAACTGATGCGTGACATACATATGAACGCAACGATGGCCGAGACATACGGAATGGTTGTCAGGCATCGGGTGCACGACTATATACGTAGCGATTCTGGCTATTTGCTGCACCCGACTACCAATAAATCACAGTTGCATCTCATGAATGCAGTTATTTTAGACGATTCACTTACAGTAGAGGCTCAGTGGAGCTCCGGAGGTATGATGTCAAATGTCGACGATTTGCTAACATTTGCTGACTTTATGTTAGACAGCTATTATAATATCAACAATACTAACCCGGGTAACATGCGATAGATTTATGTCTATTAAATTATTAAATAAGTTTCATTAATTTTTTTATTGATATATCTAAAGATTTACTTAAATCGGAGACAATTAACCAATTATGGGAACCGATATTTAAGAAAACTATTGATAAATTTGGAACTCATAAAACTGGTGATATTAATTATTTTAATAATTTATATATTAGTAGTTATTTTTTAAAAAAATAAATATTTTCATTGAAAAAATATATCTAATAGCTCACGGATGGGAAGTAATTGAATTGGACAAACCAATCACATGTACCAATAAATGCCAAATGCCGGCATCTATAAGGAAGGTTATCTGGAAAACGGGTGGTTTGTATGGATTGGCAACTATTATTGTAATACTACCCGAACAACACATTTGTGTTACATTTTTCTGTAATAATTCCAGTTTTAACAATACAGGACTAATTGAATTGGCACTGATAGTGGCCAAACAGTTTATGATGTAAATGAAATGCTAATTTTCTAATTAATATAACAAATTGTTATCAACAAAAAAAACTATTATACCTTAAATTGTTTTGTAAATATCAAACGTTTTACAATAAGATAAAAATAACTCTAATCACTATTAAACTGTTAAACAAATTAAGTTTGTTTTTTTTTCTAAAAATAGTAAGAAATATAAGTTTATTTTTTGCCTTAAATTATTAAGGGATTAAAAATTTCTAAAGAAATAATTTATTTTATTTTCATCTGATATTATGGAAAAAAACATTAGTATTATTAAATAAATACTCTATACTTTGAAAATTATAAGAAAAAACTTCAATAATCAAAATTGCTTTTCTCTAAAATGTTTAAAGATTAGTATATTTTTGCTATTTTTAAAAGATACAAAAAATTTATTATTGAGATAATTGTAATTATAATAATTGATTTGATATTAAAATAAGTTTTTCTGATTCATATTTAAATATTTAGTCTATTTAATTTAATTCATCAACTATTACTACTATTCACACACACACACACACACACACACACACACACACTCACTCACTCACCCACTCATTCAATTTATATATATACTGTAAAAAAATTAATTAATATTATGCCTTAAGTATGCAATTATATACTAAAATTGAAAATAACAATTATATTTTAATGATATCGCTATTACAAATTAAAGCTAAAAGTAAATATTTATAATTGATTGGATAGTTTAGACACAACAAAAAAAAAGTTTTCAATACGACACCTAAAACTTTAATATGATTTTTTTCAATAAAACTGTTAAACAATATCATAAATTGTATACATTATTATAGTTATACATACACACTGTATGATCATTATTTTTATCTAAATAATGAATTTATACGTATAGTAAACAAAAATTATTTGATAAACTATGTTTTGAAATGACGATACAAAATATTTTTCCGCTGATTTTCCTCTCAAAAAATATAATCAATTTTCACTAAAAAAATTTTTTTTGTTGACTACTAGTCTTAGGCATAATAAAAATCAATACTGTATTTTTCGGGTACATCTTATATATAATAATAATAAATTTTGTGATAGTGTTAAGTGAAAGTGTACAAAAATTTCAGTAAACTCTAGTGTAACATATGATATGATAGAGAAAAATCACTTGTGTTTTGTTATGTATTGTATTTGGCAATGAAAAACAATAGCCATTAAAGTGTTGGGGAGTCTAATCTATGCAAACTATAATATATATGTATATACATATACACAATGTCTATGTTTGTGTAATGAGTAAAGTCAGTGAATCAAATGATACCATTATTTGCGAGATTTTATTATAATATTATCACGAGTTTCGGGTAGTTTTTGAAAATGAAAATAGCGATCGATTTTTTGTTGAATATGTGCAAAACAAACACAACATTGTTTCAGTCATATGATATATTTTTATTATCTCTTATATATTATATATAAATTTATATAGTTTTCCTGTGAAGCACATGTCATTAGAGTAATATATATATATATATATATATATATATATACATTATATAAATATAAATATATAGTACTGTATAATTTAGATTTGTTATAAAAACACTATTGTGATTATATGAAAATTTTCAGTTAGCAGTTTGCAATTAACTCTAATATATCTAATTTGTGTTTAAATTTGAATATATGTTAATTGAATTTAGTTTTACAAGTAATGCATAATTTTCATTCATTCATTTTCAACAACAAATAATTTTTTTATAAATACAATGTGTTTGTTTTGATGCAAGGATTATAGCAGATTATTTTTTTTAGCAAAAATTGGATTATTTGCTTATTTAAATATACTATTGGTTTTAATTTACTAATAATTTATAAATAAAGTTGTATATATATACACTATAAAAAAAATTAATACTAGTTACTGATTCATATTTATATCACTATTACCGTAATTATTAAGTTTACTTTTTATTTAATTTGACAAAAATGATAAGTAATAAGTAATAAATTATTGATTATATTTATTGATTGATAACATATATATATAGCAAAAATGTTAGCCATTACAATCAATTTTATCGGTTAGACACTTAATGATTATTTAAGTAATTGAAATTATTAATAATTTATATTATATAGTAATTTAGAAGCATTTACTTACAATTTATCATGAAATAGGTTATTAGTTTTTGTTTGTAAAGTTTGTAAAAATATTATATTATTATAAAAATCCAATAAAAAAATTAATGTTTCATTTGTAAAAATAAATAAATGTTATCATCATTTTTTCCATAAAATCTAATGGAAATTTTTATTTATTAGTTGTTAAAATAATTTATATATTTTTGTATATTTATATCAAAAAATAAAAGTGTTAGAAATAGAATTTTATTTTATCAATTTATTTTATAGTTGAATTTGCATTAAGTAAATGTTGAACAAATAAATTGTGTGCAATAATATTAAATTAATAAATAATACTTGTTTTGTTGTTATATTATTCAAGACCTTTGACATTTCAAACACAAAATAGTAGTGTTAGTGAACTTTTCACTTAAAGTTCAATGTTTGCTATTTTATATTAGATATACTGTTAATACTGTATATAACATTATATATATATATATATATATATATTATAATATATAAGGCAAACATTTGAAAATTATGTCATATTATACTTAACTGTTATGTAAAAACATCAGCAATAATATTATTAAGAATAGTAATGATAATAATAATGTTAATAATAATAATATTGATTATTTGAATAAACATGACTTTATTTTAGTATTTTTATTGGATATATATTAAGAAATATATATACTATATATATATTTATATATAATTTTCATACGATTTATTGATTATATATATTTTGTGCAAAATTCTGGGAATACAGAATCAAAATTTTCATTTTTTTTATTTAAAGCAATTTATCTATAAGTTTAAATTGTTACAAATTTATTTAACTATGTTATTTGAATAATAAAAATCTATACAAATAAATTGCAAATAATTTTAGACAAATAAGTAAAAGAAAAAAACTGATAATCAAACACAAAATGTTAACACAAAGAATAAATATTTAATATAAAACTAATTGAGAATTGGGAATAAAATATTAAATTTTTTTGTTTCTCATCAAATAGTATGGTATTTAACAATAGTTTGGTGTCACATACATACATACATACAGATAGAAAAAATTGCTATTATTTTTATGTGTCAATTGTGAATAAAGTGAATATAATATATATAAAAAACTAAAGCCAAATGACAGGCCTATCAAACAAGTGCTACAAAACAAACTGTGCTTTTACTCTCTGATGTGCTCTACGTATAGCACACTCATGTCTGTCTATTATTGAAACTGTTTGTTGCTATTTTTAGTAACTGTGCCCTAATATCACAATCAATGAGCATAAACTCTATATATAAATTTATATATATCTATATGTATGCTAACAGAGTGCACAGTTAGATACTCTACAGACACATGTAGACACACTCTTTCCTTACATCCGATCAATAATAATATATACAGTATACTCTATATATATATATTTAATGTATATACAATATAATTTATATATATAATTTTATACTGTATATATATATGAGTTAATATAGCAAACAGTTATCTATTTGCTTGTATATTGGTATCTACGGTATACACAGTATTACATACTTTATTATATGAACAGATTTTTTCTCTCTATATTTTTTTCATCACAACAATACCCGCGAAAAGAAAGTCATGACATTTGAATGAACTTCAAGTGATTTTACCAAATATTCTCTATTTTTTAAAAAATAATAAAAACCAAAATTATAACAAATATTTTGATAAATTATCATTTGTTGTTGATGTATAACTATATGCATTTGTTTATAAATTATTATACGAATCCATTAAATGCAATTAATGTATTAACTTTTGTTTGACTCGTGTTATACACTTTATATTGTATATCTATTCTACAGTACAATACTATACAGTTTATGGTATGCTTATAAATCCCGGGCTTAGCCCATAAACAGTATCAGTTATATACAGTATATATATATATATATTGTATTATATAATGGTAGAGTTGTATAATCATAGTACAGTATACTACAGTATATCTAAAATATTAGGAGAAGATATTAATGTACTTAAACATGGATTATTTTCAATAGATTTTTGTTGTTGTTGTTGTTGTCGTTACTGTCAGTTATTGTTTGCTATTTTTGGACCAATATTTTTTTTATATATATAACTATAACTCATCATTAAGTTATGTAAGTTATATTACGGTACAATCATTTTTGATTAACTACTGTCAGCAATAAGTAATTGATATTTTTTCCTTTCAAATAAATTATGCATTCATGGGATTAGAAGTTTTCGATAATAAATTTATTTATTTTTTTCAAAAAAAAAATAAAAATATTATTAATGCATCTCAATATCAATTTATTGTACACATTATATACAGTTTACAATATTTTGTTTAGTATTAATAATACAAAATAATTTAATCAATAATTCAGTATTTATCAATTGAAAGATGATGTTTACTTTTTAGTTAACAATTATTTAATGATTAATTAAATATATAAAACTTATTGTGAAACAATAACTTATAGGTTATTTAATAAAAATAATTAATTTTACTTAAAATACGAAATTATATGTTCAATTTATTTATTTACAACTACATTTATTTGTATTTTGGATTTTATTAAAGATTATTGATAATAATAATAATAATAATATAGTTTTAATAATAGCAAAAAATAGACTATGTTTTGTATAATCTATGAGACAGTAAAAATAAAATATGACATTCAAGAGATTGAAAAAATATAACATAATCTATAATCACTTATTTACAGTAAATATAGTACCGGTATTATCTAATATAGATCTATGTCTATACCATATATTAATATATTTGTGTCCATTACAGAGATTTTTTGTGTACAATATTTTAATAATATATAACAGATAAGTATGTACTATACTCTTGAGTTGAATTATTGGTTGAGTGAAAATAAAGCACTTTTAAAATAAGGTTTTTTAT